AATCCAGCAGGGCAGCGTGTTAAGAGCTACATTAAAAAATAAATCTTGGTATCTTAAATCGGCGATGAAGCTTAGCGCTGCTATCGTAAGTATCATCAATCTTGTTTCGGCTGCCAGGCTCGCCGCGGAGCAGGGACAGGACAAAGAGGTCAATAAAGCACAATAATACTTTGATTCATTCTCGGCAAATCTCAGAAGACCTGCTCGGAAAAAAATAAGAGAGCTCCGAATCGGAGGACTTGCCAAAACGGTGTATATTTTCCGATTTTCATTCCGCGAGCTCCTCCCGCGGATCCTTCCGATTCGGCGACATGACACGGCGTCCGAGGGGAGGGTTGGCGCGAAAGGGGTAGCGGGGGTAGTTCGTGCGAGAGGACCCGTTGTTTGCTCAACGAGGGGCGAGGAGGCGGGGGCGAAGCAAAATGAGGAGTCCAGGGGGTTTGGATTTTTCTAATTTTAGGGCAGAGCGAATCGAGTGTACAAAAGGGCGGATGAGAAAAGAAATCAAAAAATTCCTTTAAAGGTAAAACGCTTGGATACAAGTGGAGAAGCGGGGAGCTACGTCGTTGGTGTGCGTCGCTCGACGGTTGTCACGTTGGGTGGGAAAGAGTCCGGACATTTGCAAAAACTCCCGCCCCCCGTTTCTTCAGAACGCAAAAATGTCCAGTATTTTTGCATGCTCTTAATTATACATGAAAATGAATAATTAAACTTTAATTATTATGTGCACCGTGCACATTTCATTGCTGTAAGCTCTCTGAGCCCCTAACTATTCATTTTAGTCCCAGTTCGTCCTACCGTTTAACTGAGCCGATTTCTATGATTTTGGCGACGATCGATAGGTGATAGTTCCTAAATGAACGTACATATATTTATGCCAAAAGGAACTATGTCTCGCACAAACCCTATGCACATAGTTCCTTTAACCATAAATACGTCAAAATGAGTTCGCTCTAAAAAGTTTTCAACTCGATGCACATTTATCCCAGACTCCATAATTTATTTATTTATTTATTCATTTATTTTTTTGCTCCTCCGTATAACCCTATTTATGCAAAATTTACTTGCGCTACATCATAAAAAACAAAAGGAGGTAAAAATCATTGCAAAAAAAGAAACTGACTCTTTAAATGAAAGCGCCTTGAATGATCTAATCTAGGGACCTAGATCCAGTAACTTCAAGTAAAGTACACATCGTATTTGGTTCGTATCTTGTCGGGAGATTGAGATACTCCGAGCGATAACTACTCGTACTTATGAGCAAGTTAAATTGCATAACTCTACAAATGAAGGCGTTTTCAATGATTCGATAGAACCCGAATCCACGGATTTGAGTAAAGTATCAGATTTGATTCTTTTCTTGTGAGGTTGAAATAGTCAGAGCGCTACCTATTCGTGCTTTCAAGCGAGCTAAAACATTTTATACGTTTTGAATGATTCAATCGAACCTGAATCCAGGAATTTAAGAAGAGAGTCTTAATCGATTCGCATCGTGTGAGGTTGTAACATTCCGAGCGGTAACTATTCGTGCTTTCAAGCAGGCTTAATTGCATAGGTCTCTAAAATGAAGGCCTTTTAAATGATTAGACCGAGCCTCGAAAAGGAACCTCGAGGTCGGTTTAAAAAAAATCCGCGGTCAATGGCTCAAACTTGACAACGCGAAAATTGCGAGAGGTGGCTCTTTGCGACCGCGCCGCGCCGCGCTCCCCTCCCGCCCGGGCGCTGTTAACACACAAGAAAATAGCGGTCCATTCTTTATTCCGGACAAAATTATTTATAGCCCTGACTACTCTTGTTTGGTGAGAAAATATATCTGCTATCCCTGAATTTATTTTAGCCTGATTGGTATTTTTTGATACAGCGCGGCGCGGCGCGGCGGCTGGGAAAGGCGATTCCCGCTTGTATTTGAGTTGTTGGCGTCTCGGAAAAAACGCGAGAGGGAGCGCTCGTAACAGGATCAACAAACTAAACGGCCTAGGAGTTGGCCCCTCGAGCGGAACCTGAGAGCTTCGCAGAGCGGTTCTTAGAAAACGGGTGCTTCACGGCCCGATTTTTGTTTGATCAACGGGCAACGTGAAGGAGGACGATCGAGAGCAGGTGCAGGGGCAAAAAGAGCGGCTAGGGGGGGGGGGAGGTTAGGATTTCTCTAATTTCATGTCCAAGCCAGGACAGCGTGAAAAACCAACGGGGGAAAAGATAAGTTTTTTCAGAAAATTTCAGTTCTAAAGGCCGTCAGCGTCAGGGTGTCTACTAAAACAGGCTGGCTAAAAATGAGTACATTTACGGTAGTTTTCCAGTACATTCTCAAGAAATTCAGTACCTCCATTCCGTACTTTTTCAGTACCTCCATTCGACGAAATTAGAAAAATTTCAAAAATTTAAAATTGCGACGAAAATGACAAAAAATTAGAGAGATTCCGGACCTTTTTGCGGAATTTCCGCACTTTTTCAGTACTTCCGGACCGCCCTTAAAAAATCGGTACTATTTCCGGACTTTCCGGAAATTCCGGACTTGTAGACACCCTGGGCCGTGCTGTATTGATAGTCGTTTTTCAAACTGCTCCTTCCTCCAGGACGTCCCGTGCGGTTTACATGGTGATTGAGGGAAAATTAAGGAGATCCTTGACATGGCACCATACAGGGGACAATTGGACGTGGTTCGGTCGAACGGAACCAGGGGTAGGTGGGAAATAAGGGGTGTGCTCGTTAGTCGAGGACCGTAAGAATGAATGGGAACTATAAAGCGCCAGTGACGTCAGTGGCAACGAAGCCGCACTGGAAAAAAAAACACATTGGATCTAGAGTCCAGACTCTTGAAAACATTGACAAGAAAAAATACTCTTGATTCAATCGGATTTTTGCTTGAATCAAAACTAAATCCGCTTAAATAAGGAGGCTTGGTTCTTGATTTAAGCTAGATTCTGATTGAATCAAGAGTACTTTTTCTTGTCGATGTTTTTAAGAATCTAGACTCTAGATCCAATGTGTTTTTTTCCAGTGCGTCTCTGTTGTCTGTCTTGCTCCGCTTTATCTCATGATCCCTGTCCACAACGCTCTTTTGCCATTCCCACAGCTCATGAGCGCTGCATTCAGTTGGCACTTAGTTCCGTTAGACAGAATGTGAATTGCCGCTTTTCCACTTCTCCAAAGGGAAGAGCACACCGCCATCTTTCCCACTCGTTTGTAGTTCCGTTTGGCAGTAATACGTCCAATTTGACTAAATTTTGCAATTGGGAGCAACAATTCCTAGCCCATCCGTAAAAATACTCATGTGCAATGGGAAACTAATGGTACATGCGTCGTTTCTAAACTGAGCTAAGTATTGTACTTCCAAATTGCAAAATGCAGTCCAATTTTAACGCATCTCAGATAAAAATAAGCAACGTAATTTTCGAGATTGACCCATGCAAACGACTACAATGTTTTGTCACTACAAAAAATTACGATACAAAATTAAAAACACTGCGAATTTTCAAACTTTTATTGGAGTAATAGTTTTCTTTTTATGAAAAACGTATTACATTTAACGTTTGACTTACCCGATTAATTACATATCGACGGTGAAACTACCAAACCACGTATCTCGGTTTGCGACGTCGCAGACTTCCTGTCATACTTTATTTTTTAAACGAAAAACTACTTAACGTCCAGTCTTGAAAATTTCTGCGATTTTTCCTCCGCGTGCGGAGAAAATTCTGTGAAAATTTCAAGGAATGATATTGATTTGGTCTACCTCAAAAAAATAAAATGTGAGCGTAGATTTTTAAACACCGCAAACGAGATACGTGGTTTGGTAGTTTCACCGTTGATATCCTGTTAGTGCGCATGGTCTTTAAAATACATTATCTCTGCCATCGATATTCGGCACTGAAATCCCACGAAAGCCGATTCTAACTGGAGACCGATACAAAACCATTATACGACTTTTTTGAGCTTATTTCTTACGATGAAATGGCAAGTTGGACGGGGACTTTGGGGAGGGACTAAGATCCAGACCTCTCCGCCGACTAGACCTAGCTTTATGCTCCCATTCCGCGCCGTAAAGTTAATAACTGGAGAAGGACGGGGGATTACAAGAAGATAAACAGACGAACTCAAGGGGCCGCGAAGAAGAAGTGCGAACATAACGTGTCCCATCCCTTAATGAGTGTCGAAATTGGGCCGCAGGCTCGTTAAAGAGGGGAGCCTTCGGATATCTCGCAGGTCGCGGATTCAGACATTTCGAATGCCGCGTTCTGCAAAAACACCGTAAGAACCTTCGGGCGTTGCCAAATTTCCTCCAATAAAACACTAATTTCCAGGATGAACATCGAAGTTGCTCCTCGGGATTATGAAAGAATTTCGTGAACTAGTTTTTTTTGGCGCGTCTAAAAAAAATTGAGGGAGGAATATCCTCGACTTCTCTTGAAAATGAAGATTTTCGCCGGGGGAATTTGGCAAACCTCGGAGGCGCTTACGATGTTCTTCCTCGGCGCAGCTACTGCGAGGAGGCGAGTGGACGACTTGTAAAGGTTTCCCATCAAAACAGAACACTCATTACTTAATTAAATTTTAGATTAGATACGCTGCATCTGTTGCCGTTTACAGTCGGCAAATAAATTAACTAAATTAAAACATGCCTCCCCCCGCCCGCGGCCCCCGCGGCACTTACCGCCACGCTCGGCCGTAATTATAGATGCAACTTGCGATACAATAAAGTCAGGAAAAAACCGACTTGATAGACATGCCGGCGCGCTGCGCTCCCGCCCTCGGCTAAAACCGCGGACGTGCTCGGAATCGCGACGGGCGGTTGCGCGTTTTTTACTCGGGGGCGCTAAATCAGTTGTGAATACGAGTCAAGGTAATTACCGGGGCTGCCGGGAGTGCAGCAGTCGAAAAGAAGGGTTCCGAGAATCCCGAGACACGAAGCGAAAGGGGGGGTGGGGGGCGTAGTTGAAATGAGGGGCGCGAGTTAGCCGTGAGAGACGTGACCGAAGGAAAAAGAAGAAAAGGAAACTTACATTTGACGTAGAGCTGCGTCGGCTGAGAGATCTCGGTCCCGATGTCGTTCTCGGCTACGCATTCGTATTTCGCCTGGTCCGACTCGAGGCTTTTCGTTATTTTCAGGGTGCCTGGAACAGAGAAACAAACAAAAACTCAAATAAAATATCAATCTTTATGAAATATACTTCACCCATTATTAGAAGTGGACTTCATCTCGCAATTGGACTCAAATATCAATATCAATCTTTATGAAATATGCTTCACCCATTATTAGAAGTGGACTTCATCTCGCAATTGGACTGAGTTAAGCAGAACGGAACCAACCCACATTTTGGAAAAAAATAGAGTTATGAGTGGGTTAGAACTCAACCACTGCTCTACTATCTATCGCCGAAAATTCAAAGTTTTTGTTGGAGCAAATTTTGCAGAAATTGAACTTGAAGTTTATCTTTTACATTGAGTCTTATGCAGGAGCCAAACTTTAAACCTCTTTTTCTCGGTTCGATCCCGATGTGGCTTGGTTCCTTTCTGTTTAACTCCCTCCAATTGGACTGCATTTTACAATTTGGAACTATAAATTCTGGCTCATCTGAAAAAAAAAACACTTACGTGCATAGGGAAACTAATGGCACATACGTTGTTTTTAAACCGGACCAGAATTTATAGTTCCTAATTGCAAAATGTAGTCCAATTAAGACTAAAATATCTGAATTATTTGTAAAAGTACTCGTCTGCATGTGGGAACTGATGGCACATGCGTTGTTTCTAAAGTGAGCTGGAAATTGTAGCTCCGAATAGCAAAATGTAGCTCAACATTCAGATGAAAATTATTTGGACTGCATTTTGCAATTAGGAATTACAATTTCTGGCTCAGTAAGGAACAACGTATGTACCATAGGTTTGCAGGATTTAACCGCGTTATACATTTTATATTACAACAAACAGACGTCTTTGTACAATGGAGCTTTTTTCGGAAATTCCGGCAAAAAAAATATATGAAATGGACTACATCTAAATTCAGTTGCTACTCGCATAAGTTTATTTTTTGCCTTGCCGCGTAAAAAGGACAGGCAAAGCTGAGGTATTCGAGGCAAAAGTATTCACAATATCGTTGAACATTTGCGTACAAAACCCGCAGACTAAATGAACCATTTCCGATTAATCGCAAATGTTGTGGCATCTGAATGAACACGGGGAAAAAACCGAACGCACAGCGAGAGAACATCGGTATGCGACGAGTTCGGCGAATAATAAACTCGATGATGCACGAAATATCTGTTCCATCGGATCATTGGTTTTGATTCGGAGGTGATGAATTATACGGGAACCGCGAATCAAAACACAATGAGTCTGCTCGCGGGATTGGAAACGAGCGGTGCTCATTTCGCGTGGATGTTTATTTCGTTGACTAATTAGCCTTGGTAATGAGGAAATATTATACGAGGTTGAGAGGCAAGGTGACAAAAGAGACGAAAAATAAAATGGAGAGAAAAAACAGAGACAGTAAATTTTAGAGACTGCTGTTTTCCCTGTAGTGTAAAATTTACTTTCTGGAGTCAACACTCAGATTCACTATAAAAAAAAACACATTGGATCTAGAGTCCAGACTCTTAAAAACATCGACAAGAAAATGCACTCTTGATTTAATCAGAATCTACCTTAAATCAAGAACCAATCCTCTTAATTTAAGCGGATTTCGTTTTGATTCAAGCAAAAATCCGATTGAATCAAGAGTATTTTTTCTTCTCAATGTTTTCAAAAGTCTGGACTCACACAAAAAACACAAAACACAAAACACATAGGATCTAGATCCTATGTGTTTTTTTCCAGTGTTCGCCAGATGATGACTGATGACCGAAGAGTTTTACTCAGTTAACTAAAAGTTTTAGCCATCAAAATCTGATTTGCAAAAACTCGCCTGGCAAAGTGCTCTTCTCGACAAGGGTGACCATTGGGCGAATTTCATTTCATTTTTTGCTCAACAAGTGTCTCGCGACGTTAAGCGAAAAGTGCCGTTGACCATCGAACCTAACGTATGCCTAACCCGATTACATTGCATAGATTGTTAGAGCGGGGTCTCTAAAATATACTATCTCTGTTTCCAATGGCTGAGAGAAATTTTGTTTTGAACTAGTTCGAAAAAACCTAGAAGGTACGGCGCGCGGTGTGGCGTGCTAAAGTTCGCCACACACGGCAATGTAACAGCAAACGTTTGGATACAACTATTCGAACTCTTAGGATGTCCGTGTTGCCTACTTCAAAATTGAAGGCGCGCTGCCTTTCGTAATGTTCGCTATTTCCCAGCTCACATTTTATTTTAATGTTAGGTTTCGTTTCGGGTTTCATCGACAGGTTGGCCTTGTCTATTATATTCAAACATGGGAATTCGTGTTCAATTCTCTCCTCGACACTTCGAATAAAAAAATCCCTTGAACACTGTCAAAGTTTCATAACTTGCCCGGTTCTCTCAAACTCTCGCAACCCCAATTGCATGGCTTCTCTCCATCTCTCGCAACCCCAATTGCAAGGCTTAGAGTGTTAGTCCTGAGTTTCTGGAATATACTGTCTTTGAGAAGCGAAATATTATTCTCATGAGGCCATTACAAAAAACTACCGAAAAACACAAGGGAAAAGGATGGTAATGCCTGTGGCTACGTATTGGTTCCTTGCAGTGGCGCGGCGTGGCGTGAATTGCGATGTATCGATTGTTATGCCATTTAAACCTGTGGTAAAGAATCTATTTTTAAGGTGTTCGCTGCGAACACCCTGTTTATCGATCCTTTTCCATAGGTTTAAATGGCATAACAACCGATATATGGCAAAGCACGCCACGCCACTGGTTCCTTGGAGTACAACTGGCTTGACCAAATTTTTTTTGAGCCCGGTGTCTCAGCGCAATATCATCTTAGCGAGGAAAGAGGGGAAATTTCAGAGTCAACAACAATCACCCAACAAATTCCATGATTGTTCCGATATCTATTGTTTTCCAATGATTCCCGATATGGCTCGGGTTTTCTCGGTGTTATACCGGTCCAGTTTTGTTCCATTTCGGGCCTAATTTTTCATTGAATGACTCAATGTGAGAAGTTTTCGATGTATATATCATTTTGCTTACTTTTATTTTAATTTAGATTGATGAATGGACGTTTGGAACAAAACTATAAATGGAAGAAGTTGGGTGGAACTTTCATTTCACACCGACAGGAACGCCGCAAAAAGGTCAAGCTGCCAATTGCAGGTCGCATTCTTAAAACGGGGTATCGTGCTTCGATGATTACGCTATCAATTGAAACAAAATCTGAGTTACAACACTCTTGCGTTGACCTTTTCTAAAGGTTTCAACTGAAAACCGTCAGAAGCCTCCACAGCTTAGAGAGTGGCGACGGGTGCGTGGAGAGAAAGCGTTTTCTTCTCGCAAAAAATACTTAAGACTGGAAGACGGTGTGTTTATCATCCTGCGTTATAATTGGTAAAAAACTGAAAATATCATGCTGAGAGAGGCCTTATTCGAATATAGTTTTCACTTCGCACTGCCGTGTCATGAGAGAACAACGTATGAGCCGTCAGACGATGCCAAATTTCCTTTCATGAAATACAAATTTTCAGAGAAACTTGTAAACATTTCTCTACCGCTTTTTCAGGGGATTTTGTTCGCAGTTCGATAAATATTATTAGAAAATTTAGGGGTAAACGACTCACAACTTTGGTTAAAAATAAATAAATTATCGGGAGAAAATTGGCAACATCCTACTATCATACGGCGGTTTTCCTTAGTGTAGTACATTATTGCCAAATATTACTGATAAATCAGTACTATTCCTATTTCAACCCTTGTAAAAGATCCATATTTTATCTCGCAAAATACCAATTTCGGTATATTAGAACACATAATCTCTTCGTCCGTGATGTTTAAGACTCTGAACAATGGACCTCTGGATTTTTCTCCACAAGTCGAGGTAAATGATTAATGTTCGGTTAGATTGTGGGTGGGATTTTCGCTAGGAAAAGCTCATTGAGGTATTGGCTAAAATTCATTATCTACACTCTCGCGTAAAGATGAATCATGAGATGTGCAGAAACAACCCTGATAGCACAGACTGGATGTAACGAGAGGAAATTGCCTTTTAAAACTATAGATGAAACAGGTCTGTGGTAGAGAAAATGAATTCGCCGATAAATAATAATTTCACAGCTCTTGGATGACATGAAAAAAAAAAAAAAAAAAAAAAAACCAAAGGATATAAACAGCGGATGTAAGTAAAGTTAAGGAGCTATTCGAAACGATGTCATGTAATAAACAACGATTTATGTGGTTTTAATTATCAAAAAGTATTTTTAAACGTCCTTAAGGCATACGGTATTATATCAAAAGTCCTTTCTCTACAAGGGTTGGTGTTGAGTGCACACTGAAAAAAAATTCTCGGCGTTTTTACCAAGGTCCGTTGGTACCTTTACCATCTCACTTTTTTTTACCAATTATTGGTAATTTTACAAAGACAGACTGGTAAGCTTACCTAAAAACCGAGATTTTTCTCGGTTTTTTTCAGGTAAGAATACCACTGTTATTGGTAATCAATTCCCGGTAACTTTCCCGTTTTATCTCAGTAATTCTACCACAGTCGATAAAAAATATTGGCGTTTTTACCAAAGGTCTAGTAAAATTACCGAGAAAGTTCAATAATTTTACCGAGATTTCTCGGTAAAATTACCAATTCCATAAGTGGTAATTTTACCAAGAAAAAACTGGGATCGAATAGAACCCTGAATTCTTGGTAATTTTACCCTTTTCTTAGTAAATACACCGAGATTTTTTTTTTTCAGTGTAGTGATTTGAACCTATTTCTTCAGCTGCCTTGCCTACAAAATTGCTGAAATACAGTAATGTTTACCCTAAAAATGAATACGTCTGAGTTTGACAATGGCGATTTCTACATACACGCTGCGAAGGCACTCGCACTCTGTTCTCTTACAGTGTATTATTATTTTCATCGTATCACATGACTCGTTACTAATGGAGATTTGAATGAAAACACAAAACCACTATGAATCCTGTCAGCTAGGCGTTGGTCTTGGGCAAGACATTGCCTTGAATGTATGGACCACATTTTTCAATAAGGAACCACTATTTCTGGCTCATTTTAGAAACAATATTTATGCCATTGGTGTCCCTATGCAGAAAAGGTGCTTTTACAGAAGAGCCAGAGATAGTGGTTCCTTATTGCAAAATGTAATCCGTATGTCCCTTGCCACACGGAGGATATTTTCTGGCCTACGTCGAAAGTTGAAAGCACGACACCTGCTTTGTGTCTATTTTGTTTCCGCTAAATTGTTCGATGAGGAAACGGTACTGACCGCAATGAGGGTGAAAAAGTCTCCCCCAAAAAAGCAATGTCTAGGTCTCAGAATCAGCGGAGGAGGGCTTGAAAGTAAAAGGCTCCCTGTAGCAAGAGAGGCCCTCGATTCACGTCGGTCGGTCAATCAAAAGGCAAGACCTATATTTCCGAGGTTAACAAGACACGCAGAGAGCAGCCTGATTCGACCCTCATCCCTTAAAACCCTTCCCGTCGACCGAGTTGCCTCGTCGCACAGTGGACCGAATCAATTAGAGAGGTCGGACATAAAATTTTTGACTACAACTGCTTTTGATGCGTTTATTTCGTCGCATCTTAAATTTCAAGGGGTGTTATTGGAAGAAAACTTTACGATGAAACCAATGACACCACTTTTAGAACCTCAAATTTTTGAAAAATGGAGTTATACTGCCCTGCTAAGGAAGAACACCGAACGAACATTTGAGAGTTGCCAGAAATCTCGTGATAAAACATGTATTTTCAACATCATTCATGCGTATTTTTCCTTGAAATTTTCAGATATTTTAGATTAAATTGCGTACAAAATTGTCTGAAAATTTTGGAGAATAAGATTTACAATTTTTCCAGTAAATTCAGTTTTTATCAGAGGAAACTAGGCAACGTTTGAAGGCCCATACGGCGTTCTTCCTTAGCACGGCAGAATAAGCGTTTGAAGTTTCCAAATTTTATCTGACCTCTCCTACACTGAAAAAAATTCTCGGCGTTTTTACCAAGGTCCGCTGGTACCTTTACCATCTCACTTTTTTCACCAATTATTGGTAATTTTACCAAGACAGACTGGTAAGCTTACCTAAAAACCGATATTTTTACTGTTTTTCTCAGGTAAGAATACCACTTTTATTGGTAATCAATTCCCGGTAACTCTGCCATTTTATATCGGTAATTCTACCACAGTCGATAAAAATATTGGCGTTTCTACCGGGGTCCAGTAAAATTACCGAGAAAGTCAATATTTTTACCGAAATTTCTCGGTAAAATTACCAATTCCATAAATGGTAATTTTACCAAGAAAAAACTGGGATCAAATAGAACCCTGAATTCTTGGTAATTTTACCCTTTTCTTAGTAAATTCACCGAGATTTTTTTTTCAGTGTGCGACTGTGCGTCGAAGGGAACTCGCCGATTATCATCCCTCGTCTGAAAGGGAGCAGGGACGATCGGACTTCAAATCGGCAACTCCCCGCGTCAATAATCGACTTCAAAAATGTTTGCCGCTCCTTTGAACGTCACTTAAAGGAAACATCAGCTCCAGCCTCTCCCCAGCAAACGGGCCGTTCCTGAGCGTCGAGGTAATTAAATGAAAACGCCTCGTGCTCCCCTTGTTATTTTATGGGCCCCCCCCCCCCTGCGGTTCTTTCACTCGTCCGAGGAGTAAGCGAAAAAACGCCTTTTTGATTCCGGGACTCGAGGAGTTGGATGAGTGACAGGCTTTCTTGGACTTCAAAATAACCTGACTTGTCAGGGTTCTATAACATAAGATTCCCTGACTTTACGATGAATTATTAATGTGCTTCTTTCTCATGAAAATGCTTTTAACTGCAATTTTCGCACAAAGTTGCTTGAAACTGAAAAAAAAACCCGATTATCAAGAACGTAGATGCAGATGTTCTATTTTCATCGATAGAGTATGTACGCGCGGCAGAAAATAATGGCATTTCTTGGCCGTAAGAAAGAATCTCAAGGTTCTGCCGCAAAATTCCCTGATTTTTCCAGGTTTTAATGACTTTTCAAGATTTGTCACACTGGTTAGTACGTCTCGAAGTGATGTGCTATAATTTTTTAGGAATATTCCTTATGCATTTAAGTTTTTCTTCGATATTTTTGCTTCGAGCGGTTCGTTTTGGAATGATACGATAAGATAGTGAGCTTACACGATGCCAAGGTGAAAGAAAGAGAAAGAGAATGAGAATAGAAAAAAACCTGTTTTTAGCAAAAAGGTAGGGCAAATTTTTACTTATTATAAACAAACGACACCAACTTGGTTACGGCAATAGCCTGATATCGCCCTTGAAAGTTCATGTTAAATATCACTTGAAATTCCGATAAAATTCTAAAAGTTTCTGAAACATGAAAATTAGCCTAAAATCTCAAAAATTTCACTCGAAACTTCACCGGTAAAATTCAAATTCTTGATTTCAATGAAATTTTCCATCCCGGGAATAGCTATCACCAAACCTTTAGGTTGGATGAAATGTGTAACTGAAATTCACTCAAGAGTACTCAACATGAAATAAAAGTAGATACAATTTCCCGGTTTTATTTTTTCGCGGAAAAAAGAAGGAAATATTCGCAATCCGTCTCTCCCTTGAGTTCCGGTTTATTTGCCGGTACCGACAAACCGGTAAAGATTTTCATACTTTACTCCCATTCCTCCTCATGAAAGAGAGGAGAGATCCGAAGACGCGAAACATTAGAAAAATGAGGTAAAAGGTGGGTTTGGAGCGGTAAGGGAGCACAGTTGAATGGTGAATGGATGGAGCCGAAGATCCGCTCAGACCATGCTTTCCGCGTAATGACTTGGACGGACTCGTTTTAGAAAACTGAGGCTCTACCAAATACATTTCAACTTTTTAACGAGGTCCTGGAACTATCAACAAAGAGGAGAACGAAAGGCGAGTAAAGTCGGAAATCACGGAGAAAAACTGAATGGAGCCAACGGCTTCAGAAGAATTCAGACCTCGTGAAAAAGATGAACTATGATTTTTTTTCTCACCCTTCCTTTTATAGGACTGCAGTATGCATGCAGTTCGTAACGCGAGCTTCCAAATATTTGTGCAATTTACGCTCGTTCGGCCGGAGTAGTAGGTCAGTGATGTGCTGACTCCTGTGAGAGGCTCGTAATTAGAATAACCTCGTTACCGGCTCGATGCGTGTAAAAGTTTCCTGGAAGGGATATACTTCGAATGCTCGGCTCTATTTAAATGGAACTCTCACACATTTTCAAATGAATACTTTAAAATGATAAAAAAATAATAACTGCTGAAGTTGAGATTCTCTGGAAATACTGTGTTTATTTTTCAGAGACTCTTCCTTTCCCGTTATTTTGTCATTATCTAGACGGGAGAACGTAACAATACTTCGACGATGCAAAATTTCGAAAAGTGTATTTTTACTGAAAAATTTTCATATGAAAATTTCACTGAATTTCCTTCTAATTGAAGCAAAAGCAAAAATCTGCACAATTTTAGAGATGTTTCGTACTCCAGTAAAAAAACTGGGTCGGAATCGAGTCGTTGACTCCATTTTCAAGTCAAAAGACTAAATTTCAATTGATTTTACTCTTCTCAACCCTATATGCAATTCTAAATAGCTCCAGTTGACGCTCAAATGGCTGCGTTGGCTTTGAATTCCTTTCGTTGCTTCTAAGTTGGATTCCCATTTTTAACTCAATCCATAAAGACTCGATTTGTCTTCAAAATGAGATACCAGAAAATAAAACAGGGGCATTCCTGAATTTTGGCAACACTATTTTTTCTCCACTTAAATGTACACACAACAATCGATTTTTGGTGGTTCTTGCCTCTTTTAACATTGATCTTTTTAATGGATTTAAATTGAGGAAAAACAGTTTTGCCAATTAGCAAAATCGCCACTGAAATTCACACGCTCCTTTCGTCTGGCGGATCAATCTAGGATCACCCAGTATATACCATTTCAGGGTGTCCGTGACGGTCAGTGGCGTGGCATGCTTGCGATGTATCGATTGATACGCCACTCAAATCTATGAAAAAATATCGATTACTAAGATGTTCGCAGCGAACACCTTAGTAATCGATTCTTTACCATAGCTTCAAATGGCGAGATATCGATAATCGAGCATTCACGCCACGCCACTGGTGACGGTCTCCGACAAAGCGAGAATCTACTAGATTAATGGTGAGAAGGTGGAGAAATGGTGCTGGGTCCACACCATTTTGCGGGGAAAACAAAGCCAAGAAGTTCCAAAAACTGAAATTAGAGTCAAAGTTTCAATTTTTGGAACTTCTTGGCTTTGTTTTCCCCGCGAAATGATGTGGACCCAGCGCCATTTCTCCACCTTGTTACATACAGTTCGGGCCACTTCTTAGTGTTTTTTTTTTTTCTTCATTAATTGTGAGAGTGAGATGAAACTTACCAGGATAATCGGAGACTTGCTTGTAGTGCTGCCGATCGGAGATATCGATGGGGATTTGGTTGCGGAGCCACGTTATTCTGAGAGGTTGGGCTCCGGTGGCAGGGCATTTCAGGATGACGTCATTGCCGACTTCCACCACCCTCGCGGCCGGCTCTGCTTGTTTGATTTCTGGATATCCTTCGGGTACTTTCGATTCTGCAACACAAAAATAATACGAATTCATTGAATACAAGGTGTCAATATAAACGCAAAAACAACAATGAGACACTTTCATACGACATTATACATGAATGACCACTTTTTGAGATCATGGGTGGCGGTAGCCACCTCCGGACAAAGTCTAAACTCGACAACACTGGAAAGCCTCCAAACGAAAAAGGTGGCAGCCAACCATAGACACACGTAACTCCCTTATTCTGAAAATTGATTCGACTCGAACTCGACTGCAGCCCAAACGACGGCACGGATTCCATTGATCTTGGTGTCTACTGACGNTCTGAAAGTTTTTTGGGGTTTTTTGTAGTTTTAAAGTATGACGGCAAGGTTAGTAAAATGACAGTTAGTTCCCATTAAAAGAAGCTATCTGCCATTTGAGTAGTGTCATAGCAAAAGGAAGATAGATAAATCTATGGAGACACTGTAAACGACGTATGATATAGAATTAAACGAAAATCAAGATCATTCGAGAGGCTACGAGGACAAGGCGCATAAGTGCAGTTTTTGAAAAATTGAGATATTCATGAAGTCAACTAAAACTAGTTTGACAGTATGTTTTGTCAAAAATTCACAACTAAAATCCGACTTTAAAACATCATAAAGTGAGTTTTAACTTCCTTCTGTTATAAGGCTCAATGTAATTTTGAAACTTCAGACACGCATTTCTTGAAATAGCAAAATGAACTGCACTCGTGCGCCTTGTCCTCCAATCCCCTCATTTAACCAATTTCCTAATTTCAAGAGATGATCAAAAGCTGGAAATTCGAGAAAAAACTGAAATAGAGACAAGGACTTTTCAAGGCATCACGAACTCTATCCAAAGGGATACAAGGGAAACGTCTCCTCCAGCTTTGAAAGCTACGGAAATTGGCAATTTTTGGCCGATTTTTGATCAAACAAGGTAGATTTTTGAAAGTTTCTCCTCCGCCGCACAGTGGACCGAGTCGATTGGAGAGGTCGGACATGAAATTTTGAAATAGAACCGCAACTTTTGATGTTTATTTCGTTGAATTTTAAAATTCGAGGGGTGCTTTTGAAAGAAAATTTTACGAGAAAACCAATGAAACCACTTTTAAAACCTCAAAATTGTGTATAAACGGAGTTATAAGCGTTCGAAGTTTCCACATTTTGTCCGACCTCTCCGATTGACTCGATCCACTGTGCACCGAGGCATGAGCCTGACCTCTTAGCCAAAAAATCACCGTGAAAAGGCGAGAAGATAGGTAGGCGAAGGGTTGGCCGGGCGAAAGGTCACCCCCCGGGCCCAAGCAAGGCGGAGAGATTCTCGAGCCTGAGGGTGAGCCGGGCACGGTCACTCACTCCCATTGGATTTTTACCCAAGTTCGGAGGGGTTAAATAATTCCCGCGGGCAGGCTTGACAGTTTAACGAGATAGAGAGGCTCTCTGGTTGCGGGAGGGTTGCGACTCTTGGGTAATTAACAGGAGTTGCGGCGCCGCGCTCGGACCGACGCGGCGGGGGGTATCTTTAGCGGTCATAATTGAGCCGTGGACGGTGGACGGTGCGCGGTGGATGGTGGACGGTGCGCGGTGGATGGTGGACGGTGGATGGTGGGCGTGCGAGCGTGCCTCCATTTAAATCCCCGACGAGCGCCGGCCGAGCTCACTAAATAATGATTACTCCAAACAGTGCAAAAACATTGGGCCCATTTTGATTGTCCCCCACCGCGCGCCCCTTCCGCGTCTGCACCCTTGCTTTCGTCCTGACACCGGGATCATTACATGATCAAGCGCTGATTTCCATCCGGGACGGAAGGGTTCTCGCCAGAAATGGAAAGTTAAATGACTCTGTTGAGCGCGAGAGATGAATACCACTATACCGTTTTGAGAAGAAACGCCGCATGAGTATTCGAATGTTGCCGAGTTTTCTCTTGGGAAATATTTATTTTTGTTCGATTATCATTAATTATTTCTTATGCATTACTAACTGAAAGTGTCATTGATTTTGCCTTTGAACTCGTTTAAAAATCAGACAAATTTTGGGAAAGAATGGAGATGTGGGAGGCATTTGCGATTTGACTGTTGATCCTTGTGTAAAAGTTGACGGGAAACACGATGGTGCCACTGGTTTTCTCTGAAATCAACTCCCAAGCTCAAAAAAAGCTCTCAAGTTGAGGCCAAAATGGAGGGGACATCCCACGCTATCCTGAGAGTCCACCTCTACATCAAGACAAACTCTCCATGCAACGATAGGGAGCAAATATTTTAACAGGGCTGCCACTTCATTTGGGGACTCTAATACTGAAAACACGGCATCACTGCTAATGTATATTTGCTCCCTATCTTTTCATAGTTTGTCTGATGTAGAAGAGGAATCTCAGGGTAGGGTGGGATATCCCCTCCATTTTGGCCTCAACTTGAGAGTTTTTCTTGAGCTTGGGAGTTGATTTCAGAGAAAACCAGAGGCACCATCGTGTTTCTCGCGAACTTTTACACCAGAATCAACAGTCAAATCGCTAATTCCTCACACATGCAACATCTCCATTCATGCGTAACGCTCCCCACTAAGTTTCCCAGAAAAATACGGTTCGGCGAAAGGAAATTCGACAACGTCTGAAGGTTCATAGGACGTTCCTCCTCGGGGCGGGAGCAAACGAGGTCCCCGCCGTGGGAATTGGTCGGCGGATTTTGGCGAAACAAGACTCGTCGGCGGACGACGCCGCTGCGGAGGGATTAGACGCGGAGGAACTTGGCGGGACCAAATAAGGAAGGAGACAGGAAAATGAAAAATCAGTTTCATATTGAAAGATATAAAAGGTGAAATCGGGGGTGAATCCTTTGAGACCGTAATCATATCAGGCACCTCACGATTCGCGGCCCGACAGCGTTGCCGGACCGGGCCGGGGGGCGGCTCCGCGTTGGGGAGGGATCCCCGGAGCCCCCGGGCGGTCTGGCAACCCCGCCGGCCGCCGAGTCCCCGTTCTCCTTCGCTCCAGACTCACGGTGTCACCGGAATTGATTGAAACAATTTTATGGGGCACAAATACAAGAAATTGTAGAATCTAGTCCGTTGATCCTGTTTTGAAAAATAACCGCACTGCTCCCCGCCCGCCCTCCGAGCCCGTCTCGCCCCTTCAATCTAGGATGACGCATTCCGCAGTGCCGTATTTTTTTCGTCTAGCCGCGTTGCCGTCTTTACTGCCGTAGAACTGAACAGCAGCCTGATTGTGGACATTTTGAGTTTGTCGGCGGGAAATTGATGGCATAGGTTAAAAGGCGAAGCGTGATTGGTCGGCTATGTATCATCGTTGCTTATTCGGGTAGAATGGACGACATACTGTCGGATACTCATACGCTGTTTCTTAACTGAGCCAGAAATTGTAGTCCCTAATTGGAAACTTTAGTCCGATTGATGAGCTTAGTTTGTAGCTTGGACTTCTCAGCGTGTTCAAGTCCAACGGACTCATCCCTTAATAAGTTCAAGCGACTAAAATATACCTCAGGATTATCTCTTGATAGGTTCAATCTGACTAAAATATACCTCAGAATTATACGACATAATCAGCTTTATACAACCCTACAACTTTAGTCCGATTGATGAGCTTAGTTTGATCGTGTAACTTGGACTTCTCAGTGTGTTCAAGTCCGACAAACTCATCCCTTGATGAGTTCAAGCGACCAAAATATACCTCAGGATTATCTCTTGACAGGTTCAAGCTGACTAAAATATACCTCAGAATTTTACAACATAATCAGCTTTATACAACGCTACCTCGAACTGATATCGGAGGGAAGGGGGGATAAAAAATAGGTTGTTTTGTACCAAGCTACAAGATAAACCCCCTGGATGCTCCTCCTTTATCCATTAGCCAACGACCCCTTCGACTGGGAACCAATCCGAGAACATTAGCATGAAAGCGAAAAGCGACGAAGAGATACAAGCTCTAGCGCGCTGCGAGAGGAGGGGACTATTAGAGCGAGGAAGAGGAGGAGGAATTCCTCCTTGATGAAGAGAGGCTGCACTCCGTATTTTATTATTCCTTTCGCACGGGATGGATTGTTATGATTACGATTATTGTTGCAGTTTTCTTCACGAGGGAGCTTTTTTCCCGGCGAGGAGCGTCAAAGCACTTTTTGCGCCTTCGCAGGGATGAAACTATAAAAGCATTATATGATGCGACGGAGCAGCCCCCTTTCCCCTACGACGCGCTATTGTTCAAAACATTACTTCGGCGGGGGGCGTCGGGGGGTGGGAACGACGGCACATTGCGGCGTCGGGACGCGTCGCCCGCGCGAAAAGTTGAAAGGTGAGACATAAAAATATATTAACGGTAAAAACTCCGAACAGGATGCATATTCATGATAAATGATTACTGTTCGGGCGTATTCGTGCTAAAAGGAGCTATGTGCATAGGGTTTGTGTGTAACATAGGTCCTTTTAGCATGGATGCGTCCGTTTGTCGTGTTGAGTAATCAACCCGCGCCTCTCGCTGGAGCGCGGATTTTCGTCAAAAGTCACCCCCCGGCCTTTCATCCCTTTTGTCACCGGTGCGATCGTCTGAGAAATCCGGGAAAAAATTAATTTCAAATTTATTCAATTTGCGGATAACATTTGTAGGGCGAACGTATTGTACCGGTGTCTCGCGGTTTGTTTCGACCGTCCGGGTGACGCGTTGAAATCGTGAGGCGGAACTGCGGGAAATGGAATTCGCTTGTTGGGTTTTTTGTCCTTTCAGAGTTGCATTTTACCCTGACCGTTTGACTTGATGTATGCATGTTACCTATCAAAATTCTTCAGGATCGCGTCGTTTCTCGACGCGATTGAATTTTCTACAGAATACATCCAGGTAAAATTGTTGCATTTACAGATTCTGCACAATTTTTGCGACTATTTGGCAGCATCGCACCGTCACGTGCGAAAGGTATTATACTATACTGCACGATATGTGCATTATTCTAAAAAAATTAGATGAGATAATTAAAATTAAGGTAAAATGGAAACGAGTCTTTCAATCGTGAAT